CCAGGATTGCTTGAGATTAAGAATAGGACAAAACTGTGCCAACGGACCTATAAAGACAGTATGTTTACACCAGTATTTAAAAAGAAAAAAAAAAGAGAACCAATGTTGTAAACACTTACATTGGGGTCATTTCAATAAATCCAGGTTAGAATTACTCCTGAAATAATCAGAGGTAAATTACACCCATTTACATTACAGTGGTGTAGAAGTAGCTTGTCTGCAGCTTATCCCAGTGTAGTCATTTGCTCAACACAAACAGGCTCCCCTGCTGCCTCAATGGTGAGGCACTGCAGTAGCTATTTTGTGCAGCTACCCTAGAAAGCTGCATGTATGCCTGCTCTCAATCCTGATATAAATTTATGCCAGTGTACAAAACCAAAGGTTACACTAGGGTAAAAGTGTCTGTCCAAGTCTTATGCTGGAAACTCATATGGACCACAGCCCCAGGTACCACCAGCTTTGTAACCCACCATCTTTTCAGAGAAAAGGCAATGTGATTCTGAATTTTTAGATTGATCCCTTACTGCCTGCTCACATGCCAGTCCCAAGCAGTCCACCCTCACCACTACACTGCCAACTCCTGTATGGAGGAGGCAGGGCCAAGGTTATAGTAACCCACCATGGCAGGTGGGCACCATAGTCCTGTATTTTCCTAGTCTTTTAATGACATGACTGGAATTCTCTTTTCTTTCTTCAAGGAAAGATACGCTATATGTACAAGTAAAGTCGGTCAAAGATCATATGAGCAAAGTTTTGATTTTAAAGAGTGTTTTGAGATATGCATTTGATATCTTAATTCCCATTTTTGGGTGAGGTTTTGGGTGGCATAGAGGAAAAGCCGTGCAGGTCTGACTTGGTGCTTTCCAAATTTGTCTGCCATGTTGCCCTCCACAAGGGGAGCAGGTAACCAGGAAGGCACTCAAAAAACCAAAAAAAGTTTCCTCATAAGCAGTACACACACACAAAAAAAAAAGGAATCAGCAGGATTGAGTTCTGCAATTATTCCAAAAATATTTAACTATGTGCAGGAAACTTGCTGTCCTCAAAAAAGGATAAGTTTTCCTTCCTCATCTGCTCAAGGACCTCTTCTAAGAATGTACTGGATGTCAGGAATGGACACCCTCTGAAAGTGATGGCTGTACTGCATTATGCCTGCTTTGTCTACTTCCCCTGTAGGCACTAGCTTAGAATATCTGGTAGATCTTTCAGAGGGTGGTAGTATTGGGGCATCTGCCCCAACACCTCTTACTGTATCAGCAGCCTTGGCAATGTCCATGCTGTTGAGTCTAATCCCTTCATCTGTGACTAGAGAAAGTGGAGGAAATGGCCTAAATTTTTCTGTCAGGTCCACAACTGTATGACGTTTAGTGCCAGAACCCTTATTAAAAATCCAAATAATAGGTTGCACCTTTTATTATCTTCTCACAAGCCTTAAACTGTTGATATGAGGAAGAGCATGAGTGCTTCTAGGTATATTTTCAGTTTTTACACAAGTTACTTGAAACTTGTTGACAACAGCCTCACCTTTAGCTGAGCTCCAGCACGGATATAGTTGTATGAAGAGAGATCTTTCTGAAGGTGTAACGAACGCAATATCTGATCAGAACCACCTTGGAGAAGCTGTACAAATAGCATAAAAAAAAGAAATCACGAATCAAAAAAACAAAACGTCCTCCAATAATTTTGTGGTTGGAGTACTAGCCCAAGTCATTTACTTATGACCAGTGTTTAATACATTCTGATCCTTCTTCCTCAGGCTGAATAAACATGATCATAACTTTCCATTTTGATTAATAACATGGAAACCACAGCTGTGGTACTTGATGCCAGACAACTACTGCCCAGTGGATTTACCAGTAAGACGCAATGGCTGGGCAAGCACTGTGACTGTGACACATGCTACCTGCACCATTACAGAGCCATGACAACAAGGGAAGGGCTTTCCAAGGAGATGTTTTCCACTCACTTGCTTTTGCAGGCAGAAAGACAAGTTTAAACCTCTTAATGTCCCCCTGTGCAGTTATGACATCAAACACATATTTTGGCAAGCTGCAGGAGCAGACAGGTCTCACAGCATGTAGCAAGGAATATACCTTTGGGGATGCAACTTGTTAGAAAGGGACCAACATACCATCACAGCATGCTGAACAGAGGTGGCATGCTGACAGTTCTCTTTATAAAGAGAGAAGGAAGAGGGCTACTCTCACAGGCCAATTCCTTTCCCAGCAGGGCAATGAAGGAAGATTTAAAATGTACTCCATGCCATGAAGTTACTTAACTCTGAATTTTAGGTGACTTACAAGAAAGAAGAGAATTAGACTTGCTGCAAATTAGTTAGTCAAAGCCCAAGCACAATACTATTGTAAATTCACCCATATGCCCTGTTAAGCTTATACAATGTTAACACAGAATTGAGTATGGGGAATATTTCACCTCTCTATAGTCCTTTCCTCAAAAAAAACTAGGCATCTTCAGTCAGCTGCAGAATCTGGAAGAACATCAGCTTAAATGTGATTACAAAAGGAATCCTTCATGGAGTGCTCACAAAAGGAAAGTGTTGATCACTTTGCCTGTAATTTCCCGTGGGCATAAGAATAAGTCAGCTGTTTTCTTGGTCTAAATAAGACAGCCTTACCTGGTAAAAAGAATGAAAGCTTCGTTCTCCTGGCTGCTGCACAATCACCCGTGACTGTGAGAAACCAATACAAGATACATATTTTTAGACACTGACAGTGGTGCTTCTTAAATGCCCTCCCTTAGAATGCCAATGCAATTATTCAATACCATTAATAAAATTCCTCCCACAAAAAGCTATTTATGAACATTATTAGCTGAGTATGACACAGGGCAGACCCTGATCCATGGGGAATCAAGGCCAACCAGAAACATTACACAGATGACAAAAAACAATGGGCTATTTTTCAAGCTCAACATCTTCAGCAGCAGCATCTATAGCAACAATGGTAACTGTTTTCATGCAGAAATCACAGAGTCATTTTTAGCATCCAATATAATTAACAGCTGGAAAACAGGAACAGTACCATGTGACTACCAGCAAATGCTGCATATTGTAAACTCTTCTGCTCACATACCAAAGACAGGCAAAGGAGTGGCACCTCTCCACCATTGTTCAAGTTGCACCTTGCTTCTAACCAACCCAAAACCAATGTTTAAAAACAAGGGAAAGAAATTTTCAAAGCAAGTTAAGTCCGAGTAAAATACAGCAGAAGGAAGATCATTAAGTTACACTGGAACTTCAAGGTCATAGTAATGATGCAACCACTGACCACTATAGTATTCTGCAAGTTCAATGAATGCTGAACCCAATGAATTCATAGCAACAAATGTTGTTTTGGGCAGTGTCATTTAACTTTCTTTAAAGCCTTCACTGGCAAACAGAGAATATTTTATGAGAATGAAGTCATAGGGAACAGACTGACATTCACACTGATGTGAACTGCCTTTACACAAGTGTAAGAGTAGAGCAGACAAATATGCAAGCCTACATCTGCATAAGTCACTCCACTCTGGGTAAAGCTGCTGCTCAGAAAATCAGGAATAACTATACCTGGGTGTAAGTCACACCAGTAACTTGTGGCTGTGTGTCCACAGCTCCAGTCAGTTTCATCCCAGAGTAGTTATGCTCAATGCAAATCCTATTTCCAGCTTGCCAACATCTAATGATAAGGCTGTTGTAGCACTTTCTATCATCAGCTTACCTCTGGGTAGCAGCCTAACATTAGTATACTAAATAATGGTAGTGTTGGAGTGATAGTGTAGCCATGAGGGTCCAGGAAATATGTAATAAAAGAGGCAAGAATTTTTGTGGGTGATACCTTTTATTGGACCAATTGTATGGTTAGGATAGATTCAGGTCTCAGAGCTGAAGAAGAATGTACCACATTCAAAAGCTTGTCCAAGTGTATCCCAACCATGCAGTTGATCTGATAAAAGATATCAGCCACAGAAAGCCTTGCCTCTCATATACTAAATGACATAAGCTGCACCCATGTATGTCATATGTTGTGTGTTTGCACTCTCATAAATGAAAGCTTACTGCAGTCATGTCTGCTATGATGTTTTTGTTAAGGAGAGTCAGACTACCAGTTTTTCTAAGGGAATCATCAGGATTGTGAAACAGAAAAAAATCCATTGAGATTTAGCAAGTTGCTTACTGTAAAAATAATTGTTTTTAAGCTCAGACATGTTTAGCTGACCTAAAATTTTTTTTTTAAAAATCAGAGACCTCTTTATGAAGCACTGAAAAGGCATTTCCTGTCTGCTAACCAAATAAATCCATATGTGACTTCCAAAATAACCCATTTTAAAATTAAAATAGAAATAGGAATAGGATGGCAGTCAAAAGCACTTGAAAAGTTTTTATCTATGGCTTCATGGCTTAAATCCGGGGTGCTAAACCTCTAGCCCATGGGCCAGATTCAGCTTGCAGCACCATGTCATCTGGCCCACGGGACTCCCCACAGGCCCAGAATTGGCAACAGGAGAGCTGTGCCTGCTCCTGTACTGCCAAATCTCCAGACCCATAGAGAGCCTTGGGTCCTACGTGCTGGATCCAGCTCCTAATCCCAGCACAGAGAGCCAGGAGGGAGCAGTGTTGGGCAGGCAGGACCCAGTCCTGGTGTAGGGGGCGAGCCTTCGAGACCCAATCCTGGCATGCAAGGGGCAGGAGAGAGCAGCATCAGGCTCCCAAGGCCCAATTCCGGCATTCAGGGCAAGGAGGGAGCAGAGCCAGGCCCCAGGGCTCAATTTGGCTCACAGATGGATCCACACCACTCATGTGGCCCACAAGGCCAAAAAGGTTGAGAATCACTGGCTTAAATCATAATGCTATACAGAAGTGTCAAGTGTAAACACTCAGTATATAAACATCAAAATGTTTATTCTGAAAACAGACTATAGAGAAAAGGACAAAAATATAATTATTAGATGGGGTCAGACCTATACATGAAAGCCATACGATATACAAAAATCCTTTTGAGAAACTGAGCTCACTGCTCTCTCTCATGTTTGAGAGAAGTCTGGGTTTCATGTGTGTATCGTCTCTTTTTTTAGCCACTACAGTCTAGAAGCCAAAAAGACATTGTTGTCATCTGTTTCCTGGAAAATGCAATATAAAATTGACAGATGACCATGCAAGATGATGGTATCACTTCAATGTAATACTTAAACAAAGACACTGCTATTTGTATGTATACAGTGAAATCTTCATGTTATTTTTTGACCAGTGAGATCCCAAAGCAAGGAATTTCTGTGGGAGGCAATTGTAGAGATCTTTAATTAATCTCAGATTTGATTTTAGGATCACACACACACACACACACACACACACACACCTCTCCCCCCCCGCAGAAATTCTGTGATGGAAAGAGTTCTGAAAACAATGGTTTTCAAGGTGTGTGTTGCACTAAGTTAGTATCTGTATTACAATATTTTTTCAGTTATACTTTTATTGACTCAGAGCAATTAAGGTCTAGATCTGAAACATCTTCATATAATACATAATAAATGACTTGACATACATTTGGGAGGAAAACAAATAAACATTTTGTGTTTTACAATGTGTAATAATAAATCCAAACCTTGCACTCCACATCTGAATGCAGCTTACCTTTTCTAGTAAGTAATTACTGATATGCCCACCTATAGGGTCTCCTTTGAAATCAAAGTTGATATCCATGTATTTTCCAAATCTGCTGGAGTTGTCATTACGGTTGGTTTTGGCATTGCCAAAGGCTTCCAACACACAGTTGGACTTCAACAACATGTTCTTCACTCTAGTTTATATATACGAGGGAAAACAGAACAGGACAAGTCTTCAAATTGGGGATTCCTAGATTGTACAGTTAATTTCTATTGACAAACCATTTATAGGGGAGGATTTCAACAACAGCAAGACTGTACAACTTACTCCCTGAAACTAGGTGTTAACTTACATATGGGCAAATATGCATAAAGTGCCGTACTATCCTGGAACACTTCAGCTCAATGGACTGTTAGCGGGCCATGGGGAACATTAGTCAGGGTCATGTTAGTGGGGCATGGTCGTCTTCCTCTGAACTCCTGAGCATGTATCTTAACAAGCAACTTCCTGTCTTTCTATTTGCAGGATACTGACAATGCTCTCATCCCCTGGCTTAACCTGTGGCAAATTTGGCTGTTTTAATGTTTTGAGCATTATGCCTGGTAGTTGCGTGTGAGGGTAGGGTTTGCTCCCCAAGTTTAAGACCAAGTTAAGCAAACACTTGTCTAGGGTGGTTCAGACCAATGATCCTGCCTTGAGCAGGGGGCTGGACTAGATGCCCTCCTGAGGTCCCTTCCAGCCCTACTTTCCCATATTTCTATGACTTCCTGCCTTCAGGCTCTAGAATAGGCAGGGGTGGCAAGATTTCCTGTACAATGTACAGCTACAATGTAGGGGTAGCTGCTTTCCCTGCTCCCAGCCTCTTTTGCTCTCACCAGTGAGAGAAAACTGTGCCACTGCAGCCTCTGGGGACTTTAAATCCCTGAATCAGATGAAACTCCCCACTCCCTTTCCCTTCTTGCTCATAGGCACATCTCTTCCCTTCCTCTTTCTGCCCCCTCCCCTGCCTGCCACTGCTACTTTCTTCCCTGCTTAGGGGCAGAGAAGCTCCACAGCCAGCTGGGCTGAGTGGGGTCTGAGTTCAGTTGGGGAGGGGAAAGCAGCAACAGGGTGGCTGGACAGTAGTTCCCCCCCCCACACACCCTGCCTGGCCCTATGACAGACAAAGAAGGGAAACTCCCTGTCCATCCCTGCTGCTGCTGCTGTGCTGGTCCTCAGATAAACTCAGTCCCAATGCATCAAGCAGGACTCTGGTGCTTCCCTGCCCCTGGGACAGGGGAGAAAGGCAGGTGGGGGTAGGGAGGAGGTGTGCCTTCAAGTAGGAAGGAAAAGGGAGAGAGGATTTTCACCTGCTTTAGGAACTTTTAAAAGTCTCTGGAGGCTCCCCTGGTGTAGTGGAATCTGAAACGGGGGTGCAGCTACACCAATGTACCCCCTCTGGATCCATCTGAGAATTAACTTCTGCAACCGATCAGTAAACTTGAACCTGAGCCCTTGAAGTACTAACTCATTCAGTCAGTCAATCTCTTTCCTGACAGGCATGTCACTTGCAAGCCTGCTCCAAGCTCAGTTTAGTTTGCATTAGTCTATAAAGCTAGAATCATTGTTATGAAAGCCTTTTCTGTGTCCAATGGGCACATTTAGACATTCAGAAGCACAAGAATGTGAAATGCTGAATTAAGACAAGATTATATTCCTTCCATGAAGCACTTCATTGCAATGTACATGGCCATTTGGTTTTATGAAGTTTAAGTTGTCCAATATCTAAACAAGACCTTGTAATCTGTTCCCAAATGTTGAAATTAAGGGCTGGACTTACTCCTGACCCTCGTACCCAATTGTCTGTTAACAATCTATTTCAGTTTCCAAGAGTCAACAACTTTGCCTGCAAAAAAAAGATGAAGTGCCACGACAACTGCATGCAATTATAAAAGAAATGCAGATGCCCTGGCAATAAACACACCAAAAAAAATACAATCATGGCAATAGAGCAATCTTCTTCCCATGTGTTTCTGTGGGGCTCTTACCTCTCCACCTCAGCCCTCTGACTGGGATTAGTGATGGCTGCTATGTACTGCATAATGTATTTACTAGCCTCTGTTTTTCCAGCTCCACTCTCACCTAAGGAAAGACAGCAAAGGGTACCATAAGCCAAGAAAAGAACAGAAGTCAAGGGAAATCACTAGTCACTGCAGTCATGTCCCATTTCTATGTTAATAGCTTAAAGCATTTTTGCCTTTGAACTGCTTTTTAATATAATTGTAGCCTTGCCTGGTTGTTAATTTAGAACTAGTGATGTATGATTTCACAGGTTTGTACAAGACCTAGGAAGCAGGGGATCAAAAAGAATATTGTTATAAGAAAAAAGTTGGCACACAGAGGCTTGCAAGTAGCCAGGCAGTGAAGTCTAATACAAGAGGCTAGTGTTCAGCTGCTATCTTGGTCTCTTGCTTCTGAGGCTACTAGAGCATAGGGACATCATGGAAATGAAGTACCAGGATCTGGATGGCAACAGTTCACAGCACAAGCTTCTCCTTTTGTTTTGATGGCCAAACTAATGGCTGGGGTTCTAATGCTACAGAAACAATAACCCTAGTCACCTAGGCTGGGGGAGACAGTCACAGCTCTCAAAGAGAAAAGGACAGGACTTAACAGAATCTCTTCTAAACCATTCATTAGAGAAGAGGCATAGCAAGGGGGAAAAAAATCACTTTCAGCTTACTGCTACACAGAAACACAGATTGAACTAGATGTTGATACAAGCTCTTGAAAACACATAAGGGAATTGTCTTTGAATTACACGTATGCAAACAGCATACAAATGAAGGGTTTAAAAATAGCAAAGTGTTGACATTAGCCAATTTGTTCTACCTCTCCTTTCCTGCTGGAGTATCACAAGAGGGTCAACCAATTCTCAAGTAACAGGAGTGACTTTTCCAGTTTACCTGATATTACAATGCAGGTGTCTTTTGATCGTCTCTTCATAGCCTTGTAAGCAGCATCTGCAATTGCAAACAGGTGAGGAGGCCTCTCATACAGTTCCCGTCCTTTGTACTGTTCAATCATGTCACGCCCATAAATGCTCAAGTTTTTGTAAGGGTTCACAGAAACCACCACTTCTCCAATGAATGTGTAGATCCGTCCTTTTTCAAACCTACCAAGGGAGAGACAGAAGGAGTTAACTGCTGATATAATACTTGAGCATTTGTATTCTGCAATCAAGCTGCCCATTTGGTCAAATAAATCCTCTGAACCAAACTATTTCCATTGCCTGACAATATTCAGAGAAGGTAATAAAATGGTGCTAATGAAACCTATATGGTACATGTCACTCCAGGTGTCCAAGCAACAAGACTGTGAATCGGGACTGGCAATCAGATCCTACAAAAAAACTGATTACTGTTGCACTTGGAAACATTTATAAGGATCTCTTTACTTGGTACTAAGGTAAAAGTGATTAAGTTTAGAATCAGACTTCACTTCATTCTACACATTTCCCAATCAGATTCACCACTCATTTCAGTTATTTCCATAACAACTTGTGGCCCCAAATAAACATCCCAGGTTTTCCATACCATCTGCAAAACAAAATTTTGCTTTCAAGAGTTAAATACAAGGAGCTCTAATACACTGTCCTGCCTGACCAGAGGAATGGATGTCTTGGAGCACTCTGGTAACAGCTGGAGGGACAGAAAATTCTAAGACAGAGGAGGGCAATTATTTTGGGCAGAGGGCCGCTTACTGAGTTTTGGCAAGACATCAAGGGCCACATGACAGGCAGCCAGGGGCAGATAAATATTCATTTTTAAATTTTTTTCAGAGGCCCTGCGGGCCACATAGAAAGGCCTGGTGGGCCGCATTTTGCCCACCCCTGTTCTAAGAGAAGACTAAGATGTAGAAAAAAAGAATTTTTCTGCCTTGATGATTTAAGTGGAAATCAAAAGGCTCTCTTCAGAACCAGAGACTTAGAGTAACATTAAACATGGTTTCCAAATTTCATAGAAACTTTGATAGTAAAAATTCTCCAAAATCACCCAAAAACTCTCAGCTAAAAGTAATTTTAGTTTTAGCCAATAATCATCACAATAGTATTAAGCCTTCCTAAAAGCAAATCAGAGGCAGCAGTCTTCATTGTGGAGAACTAAATAAATGTAGCCTCAAGTTAGTAGATTGGGTCTTTAAAATTAAAAGTTCTGCAAAAAACAAAGTTTTCCAATCTTAAAATTTTGCCAATAGTCTTCTCGAGCTGCAAGGCTCATGCAAAGTCTCAGGTTAGCTAAAAATAGTATAGCAGGGTCTGTTTCCTCTTTAGAAGGGGCAGGAACCATCATGGGACTCCAGAGCTCTATTTACAAACATCAACTATGATTGCACCTCCTGTTAGTAGCATGTTATTTGTTTTTAAGAATATACCACTAGATGGCACCACAATACACTTATAAACCACTGAAGCAAGGGTCTTCAGCATGGTTGTGGACTACAGTACAATTCCAGCACTTTCTTCTTAAAGTACACATTCATTGTATAAGGCTGGTCTTTTTCTGCTACCCATTTAAGAAATACTACATGGAATACAGTAGCAATTGCAGCAGCCTATGAGCTGGTGTCCTGATGGGTTCAACCCAAGTTGAGATGCACCTGCATAAAATGTGGCCCAACAGCTGAGTTTCCACTTCTACATGGTTCAGGTCACATCACTAACCCTAGCTCTCACAGGGGTGCTTCACTCACCTTACACCACAGGTCTTTTTTTTTTTTTTTTTTTTTTTAAATACCCAAAGAGAAGTTAAAAAAAAAAAATATATATATCTCAAAAGCTGGTCCTAATCTGTATTCTCTATAACATTACAAAGCATTAAATCCAAATTACTTTGTAGCTCATAGATGCATTTAAAAATGTTTCTCTCAGAGCAGTCTGAAGGCTACTCAAGACTACAGGTGATCTTGGGAAAATATATATAAAAGTTACCAGTAAAGCTGAAATATACTGGCTTCTGCAGAGTTGCGGTATATGCAACACCAAATTATACATGTGGAAACTCATTGGCAGGGGTGACATCAACCTGAAGACCCATTTCAAGCCTGGTGTAAAATAGGAGGTCAGCTCTTGAAATGTTGTTTACCTGTAGGAAGCCAATTAAGAAGTTGCACCTGCCCTAAATCTCAGACTCATTTCTGATGATTTGCCAACCCCTTCCTTGTACAGTATAGCAATTTTGGAGCAGATTCCCTGAGAACACATCCATTTGGTAATTATTGGGTGTTATCCAGCTTGTACAGAGACGCTCCCTTAAAAGAAGTTGCTTTGTTACTGCTTCAGGGGGCAGAAGGCACTCTGGGAACACCTCTGTTTATCTGAACCAAAGACAGGTATACTCTTTGATGCTATGAAGCTCAAACAAAAGAACACTAAGGGAAATAAAAGCCATTACAGAGAGAAGCAATCCATCAATAGACCAATTCAATTTTTGGAAATAACTCCTAGAAGCCCAGAAGCACAGTGGATAATGTACTCTCCTATTCAAGAATTCCTTCTGCCATCACTACACCAAGCACCTTACCAACACAGAAGGAACCACTGAATAAAAACAAAAGGGCTAGAACAGTGGTTTTCAGACGTCTTACAGTCACAGAACCCTTTCATATCACTTCTGCTATGGTACCCCTACCCCAGTCCTAAAGACTGATGCAGAGCCAGGAGACTGAGCCTGACAGTGACAGCGTACCACCTCCCAGCCCTCTCCATTACCCCAATCTCTTTGCAGAACCCCTGATGACCTATTGCAGAATCCAGTCTGAAAGACACGAGGATAGAAGATCTTTGGTGTAGCTAGCATACGCCTAAGGGTACAGCTGTGTAATATTCAAGAAAAAACCGTATGAGCACCAACCCCGTGCCCCTTTAAACTGGCAGTTAAATACCACTCCTTCCTATTTAAGTGTTGTGCCAAATACTTATCTCCAAAATTCACAATTTTGGCCTCTTTCTTGAATAATAGATATGTAACTTCCAGTAGTTGAATTTAAGCTTGCTTCCTCCCTGGACAATTTACTGTCTCTAGTCTAGCAAGTTGGATTTGGAACATGCCTTCTGACCAAAGACTGGCCAACTGCAGACCCAACTAAAGCTGTGCCATATAGTTATGTGCAAATTCAATGCTCCTGCTGTTTACTTCCCAGATGATCTTGAGGCTGGAAGTGCTCTCAAACCAGAGGTTTTTGTTTGTTCTTTTTAAAAACAGTAACTCTCCAGGCTTAAGGAGCAGTGCCAACTGATTCTGAAGAATCCCATGGCCAAAAAACATCTCTGCCATGATGCAGGATCTGAAAGTAAGGGAAACCCACGAAAAGGATCCTCCTTTTTAGTCTCCGATGCATAAATATTTCAACATTAGTAGTTCTGTAAGGGGTTTTGAATTTGTAAATGTATATTTCTGTATATCCCCATATCCCATTTTTAGATTACTACTCAGGTTAAAATCAAAATTTAAGTACTCTACAGTGCTGTTTTTAGATGTTCCTAAACTGAGCTTTCATTACACTCCCCTCCTTGTTGATAAAGCCTCTTTTCATCAGACATTGCAGTTCAGCACTGCAGCAGGCCAAGAACAGCAATAGCTGTTTTCCTAGTTGCATTGCTTTGGTGTGAGATTCTTCTAGGGCAAGGAAAAATAAGAACGCATGAAAGCATTAAAAACAAGCAATGACTGCAACTCTAACTGAGGTACAAACAACACAAAATACCTTATTTCACTGGAGTGCCAGATCATTGGACAAAAGGACCTGTTCACTGCCACTGCACAGCCCACAACAGAAAACATTCTCTGCCAAGTGGGTGCATGCCAATATGCACATTTTTCTCAATAATCCAGTATCATGTACAAAAAAAGTCACAAATTTGTGAAGACGAACCCCTGTCCATACATTAGTAGTAGCCCTTCTGCTCTGGACCTCCCACTCCCAAGGCCCACCGGGGCCCTAGACTGGACATGTTTCAGAAGAACTGTAAAACCTTATTTGGGCATGTACTTGGCAAACAAAGCTAGGTTGGGATACTGTTAAGCGTGTTTCTGTTTTGTATCCTCCTGTTTTATAAGCATTTTTCTCTTTATAAGTTATTCAGTTCTCTTTTAAGCCACCCTGAGCCTCTATTGGGAAGAGTGGCACATAAATATTAATCTATTTGTGATATTTCAATGGTCATTGTTATGCCTTTACATTTACTTATCTCATTGCAACTGCCTGCAATCTCCTGCAAGATGTAATATTTCAGTATAGAATTAACTTACATCACTTTGTATTCCCCATTTACTACTTTAGGCTAAGTACAGTCAAAAAGCCAAAGGCTGAATTGATTCAATCTTCACAGGTTAGTCTCCAAGCTACTCACACTGAACCAATAAGCAAATGAACAGACATTCACTTCTGACTCCAGAAATGCAGCCACATGTCTGCATCCTCTATGTAGGTTTGCAGGCTTATTTATATAACAGGAACTTTTTATTCCTTTTCTCCATGAGATTAACAAAACAAACAAACAGACAAACAAACCCACAGTGATGTACTTTATACACTGAAAAAGTTTCCTAAACACAAGATGTAGGCATAAACAGTAATTCTAATAGTTAGCTATAATACCACCCATACTACAGTTATTTTTTTAGTGAGGTCCTTACTGCTTGAAAAGAAAGAAGCTTGTAAAAACAAAGTTGCCATGCATTACATTCTAAGCCAAAGTAACAGCCCTCTGCCAAATAGTAATGAAGCCTTTGCATCCCCAAGAGATCATGGATCTAACTTCCATGGGAAAGGTACTATAGAAAACTGCTCAAGTTGTCCATCGAGTCACCACCAGAGGGCTCATGCTAAGCAGCTCTCAGCAACTGAAACCTAGGATTCCTCCCACCTGACAAATGCTATGGTCAAAAATAAAATACTGTTCTTACCAAGGAAATGATGCAACTTCAAAAATGCACTCAGTCCAAATAAAGAAAAAAAGTTAGCTGGCAAAAGTTGGAACCCATTTTCCAAAACATCTGCAGAATACAGACTGTTAAAGGCACCCTACCATACAACCCACTATGCCAGTTCAAACAATATTTTTAAAAGGGAATTCATCATAATTAATCCTTTGCAACACAACTGCCCAGCA